TTCTATCTGTCATATAACTTTTATTACAGTATAGTGTTAGAATTGTTCTATTTTATTATTAGGTCTTGTCATTAATCTCTTCTTGTGTCTAGTAAGATCTACAGTAGGAACAAACCTTCTATCCGTCATATAACTTTTATTGCAGTATAGTGTTAGAATTGTTCCATTTTATTATTAGTTATTGTTGTAATCTCTTCTTGTGTCGAATCAGATCTACGGTAGGAACGAATCTTCAATCCGTCATATAACTTTTATTGCAGTATATTATTAGAATTGTTCCATTATATTATTAGTTATTGTTGTAATCTCTTCTTGTGTCTAATAAGATCTACGGTAGGAACAAATATTCTCTCCGTCATATAACTTTTATTACAGTATAGTGTTAGAATTGTTCTATTTTATTATTAGTTATTGTCGTTAATCTCTTCTTGTGTCTTATAAGATCTACGGTAGGTACGAATCTTCAATCCGTCATATAACTTTTATTACAGTATATTGTTAGAATTGTTCTGTTATGTGATTACTTATTGTCGTTAATCTCTTCTTGTGTCTAATAGGATCTACGGTAAGAACGAATCTTCAATCTGTCATATAATTTTATTACAGTATAGTGTTAGAATTGTTCCATTTTATTATTAGTTATTGTTGTAATCTCTTCTTGTGTCTAATAAGATCTACGGTAGGAACAAATATTCTCTCCGTCGTATAACTTTTATTACAGTATATTGTTAGAATTGTTCTATTTTATTATTAGATATTGTCGTTAATCTCTTCTTGTGTCTAATAATGTCTACGTTAGGAACGAATCTTCTATCCGTCATATAACTTTTATTACAGTATATTGTTAGAATTCTTCTATTATGGGATTAGTTATTGTCGTTAATCTCTTCTTGTGTCTAATAGGATCTACGGTTGGAACGAATCTTCAATCCGTCATATAACTTTTATTACAGTATATTGTTAGAATTGTTCTATTTTATTATTAGTTATTGTCGTTAATCTCATCTTGTGTTTAATAAGATCTACGGTAGAAAACGAATCTTCAATCCGTCATATAATTTTATATTACAGTATAGTGTTAGAATTGTTCCATTTTATTATTAGTTATTGTTGTAATCTCTTCTTGTGTCTAATAAGATCTACGGTAGGAACAAATATTCTCTCCGTCATATAACTTTTATTACAGTATATTGTTAGAATTGTTCTATTTTATTATTAGATATTGTCGTTAATCTCTTCTTGTGTCTAATAAGGTCTACGGTAGGAACGAATCTTCTATCCGTCATATAACTTTTATTACAGTATATTGTTAGAATTGTTCTATTTTATTATTAGTTATTGTCGTTAATCTCTTCTTGTGTCTAATAAGATCTACGATAGGAACGAATCTTCCACCCGTCATATAACTTTTATTGCAGTATATTGTTAGAATTGTTCCATTTTATTATTAGTTATTGTTGTAATCTCTTCTTGTGTCGAATAAGATCTACGGTAGGAACGAATCTTCAATCCGTCATATAACTTTTATTGCAGTATATTGTTAGAATTGTTCCATTTTATTATTAGTTATTGTTGTAATCTCTTCTTGTGTCGAATAAGATCTACGGTAGGAACGAATCTTCTATCCGTCATATAACTTTTATTGCAGTATATTGTTAGAATTGTTCCATTTTATTATTAGTTATTGTTGTAATCTCTTCTTGTGTCGAATAAGATCTACGGTAGGAACGAATCTTCAATCCGTCATATAACTTTTATTGCAGTATATTGTTAGAATTGTTCCATTTTATTATTAGTTATTGTTGTAATCTCTTATTGTGTCTAATAAGATCTACGGTAGGAACAAATATTCTCTCCGTCATATAACTTTTATTACAGTATATTGTTAGAATTGTTCTATTTTATTATTAGTTATTGTCGTTAATCTCTTCTTGTGTCTAATAAGATCGACGGTAGGTACGAATCTTCAATCCGTCATATAACTTTTATTACAGTATATTGTTAGAATTTTTCTATTTTATTATTAGGTATTGCCGTTAATCTCTTCTTTTGTCTAATAAGATCTACGGTAGGAACGAATCTTCAATCCGTCATATAACTTTTATTGCAGTATATTGTCAGAATTGTTCCATTTTATTATTAGTTATTGTCGTTAATCTCTTCTTGTGTCTAATAAGATCTACGGTAGGAACGAATCTTCTATCCGTCATATAACTTTTATTACAGTATATTGTTAGAATTGTTCTATTATGTGATTAGTTATTGTCGTTAATCTCTTCTAGTGTCTAATAGGATCTACGGTAGGAACGAATCTTCTATCCGTCATATAACTTTTATTACAGTATAGTGTTAGAATTGTTCCATTTTATTATTAGTTATTGTTGTAATCTCTTGTGTCTAATAAGATCTACGGTAGGAACAAATATTCTATCCGTCATATAACTTTTATTACAGTATATTGTTAGAATTGTTCTATTTTATTATTAGTTATTTTTGTTAATTTCTTCTTGTGTCTAATAAGATCTACGGTTGGAACAAATCTTCTATCCGTCATATAAATTTTATTACAGTATATTGTTAGAATTGTTCTATTTTATGATTAGTTATTGTCGTTAATCTCTTCTTGTGTCTAGAAAAATCGACGGTAGGAACGAATCTTCTATCTGTCATACAAATTTTATTACAGTATATTGTTAGAATTGTTCCATTTTATTATTAGTTATTGTCGTTAATCTCTTCTTCTGTCTAATAAGATCTACGGAAAGAACGAATCTTCAATCCGTCATATAACTTTTATTACAGTATCTTGTTAGAATTGTTCTATTTTATTATTAGTTATTGTCATTAATCTCTTCTTGTGTCTAATAAGATCTACAGTAGGAACGAATCTTCTATCCGTCATATAACTTTTATTACAGTATATTGTTAGAATTGTACTATTTTCCTATTAGTTGTTGTCGTTAATCTCTTCTTGTGTCTAATAAGATCTACGGTAGGAACGAATCTTCAATCCGTCAAATAACTTTTATTACAGTATATTGTTTGAATTGTTCTATTTTATTATTAGTTATCGTCGTTAATCTCTTCCTGTGTCTAATAAGATCTACGGTAGGAACAAATCTATGCGTCATATAACTTTTATGACAGTATCTTGTTAGAATTGTTCTATTTCATTATTAGTTATTGTCGTTAATCTCTTCTTGTGCCTAACATGATCTACGGTAGGAACGAATCTTCAATCCGTCATATAACTTTTATTACAGTATATTGTTAGAATTGTTCTATTTTATTAATAGTTATTGTCATTAATCTCTTCTTGTGTCTAATAGGATCTACGGTAGGAACAAATCTTCTATCCGTCATATAACTTTTATGACAGTATATTTTTTGATTTGTTCTATTTTATTTTAGTTATTGTCATTAATCTCTTCTTGTGTCTAATAAGATCTACGGTAGGAACAAATCTTCTATCCGTCATATAACTTTTATTACAGTATATTGTTAGAATTGTTCTATTTTATTATTTAGTTTTTGTTGTTAATCTTCTTGTGTCCAATAAGATCTACGGTAGGAACGAATCTTCAATCCTTCATATAACTTTTGTTACAGTATATTGTTAGAATTGTTCTATTTTATTATTAGTTATTGTCGTTAATCTCTTCTTGTGTCTAATAAGATCTACGTAGGAACGTATCTTCTATCCGTCATATAACTTTTATTAGAGTATATTGTTAGAATTGTTCTATTTTATTATTAGTTAATGTCGTTAATCTCTTCTTGTGTCTAATAAGATCTACGTAGGAACGAATCTTCAATCCGTCATATAACTTTTATTAGAGTATATTGTTAGAATTCTTCTATTTTATTATTAGTTATTGTCGTTAATCTATTCTTGTGTCTAATCAGATCTACGGTAGGAACAAATCTATCCGTCATATAACTTTTATGAGAGTATATTGTTAGAAGTATTCTGTTTTATTATTAGTTATTGTCATTAATCTCTTCTTGTGTGTAATAAGATCTACGGTAGGGACGAATATTCAATCCGTCAGATTACTTTTATTACAGTATATTGTATGAATTGTTCTATTTTATGATTAGTTATTGTCATTAACCTCTTCTTTTGTCTAATAAGATCTACGGTAGGAACGAATCTTCTATCCGTCATATAACTTTTATTACAGGATATTCTTAGAATTGTACTATTTTACTATTAGTTGTTGTCGTTAATCTCTTCTTGTGTCTAATAAGTTCTACGGTAGGAACGAATCTTCAATCCGTTATATAACTTTTGTTACAGTGTATTGTTAGAATTGTTCAATTTTATTATTAGTTATTGTCGTTAATCTCTTTCTTTTGTCTAATAAGATCTACGGTAGGAACAAAATCTATCCGTCATATAACTTTTTTATGACTGTATATTGTTAGAATTGTTCTATTTTATTATTAGTTATTTTCGTTAATCTTTTCTTGTGCCTAATAAGATCTACGGTTGGAACGAATCTTCTATCCGACACATAACTTTTATTACTGTATATTGTTAGAATTGTTCTATTTTATTATTAGTTATTGTCGTTAATCTCTTCTTGTGTCTAATAAGATCTACGGTAGGAACGAATCTTCTATCTGTCATATAACTTTTATTACAGTATATTGTTAGAATTGTTCTATTTTATTATTAGTTATTGTAGTTAATCTCTTTCTTGTGCCCAATTAGTTCTACGTAAGAATGAATCTTTTATCCGTCAGAACATTTATGACAGTATATTGTTAGAATTGTTCTATTTTACTCTTATTATTGTTCATTTTTTTGGGATATCTTGTTTCTCAAACACCAGTATTTGTATTTTTATTTACTATTCAATCATTAGGCGTCTAGATTTTAAGATATCAGTCATTTTTTCTATTGTTTTTCTAACGCACGCCATATGCCTCGAATAATAAGAAAATTTTTATTTAGATTTTACACTTTTATTAGGATTATACGTTTTATTCCTTCTTTATTTCTTCCTGCTGACTGGGAGATTGATAACGCTGGCTAGTTTACTGCAGACTGCGCATGTCAATTCTCTATTTTGAACGTAAGGTGGGCAACTCAAGGAACCACAAGACGCCTGTACTGGGTAGAAGAGAGCACCGTTTTCATCTCTGTAACCGGCAGGATCAGCCTCAGGGTCTTTGTCAACACAATTGTAGGTAGTTCTACCCTTGTGGTTATAATGACTGGTCATAAGATACCCGGAATACTCCAGGATCCACCCAGGATAGCAGCGGTTTCTAGCTGGGACCATTATTACTGAGCCAGGATCATTCGTTTGACAAACGGCACAAGGTACGTTGTGGTCGTGAAGGGATTGCGCATTTTTGGATGAAAACATTCCATTTTTGCCCAATGATCGGTACAAGCTGAGTTCATATTCTATGCCGTAGATATAAGCGGACCCTTCTCCGGCAGAGGTGAAGTTTTCCCAGATTGGATTCTTGGGTAAACAGAGAATATCACTGCTGCCTCCAGTGTGGGTGTAGTATTGGCCTCCACTTATACCTAAGAAAATTGAATAGGAAAGGGAAAAATGGGGTTATGTGAAAAAATACGCAAGGAAAACTAGTGTTAAAGTATTGTTTCGTTATGAAAGAAAGAAAGAATGAAAGAAAGAAAGAAAGAAAGAGAGGTTAAGATAACGTGGAGAAAGAAAGAAAGAAGTCATTTAAATCAAAATCTGGAATAGAAAGGAAGAAATTAGAGATAGAATTAACATTTTTAAAATGAAAATGTAATAAAAACGTAATGAAAACTGGAAAAGAAAGAAAGAAAGAAAGAAAGAAAGAAAGAAAGAAAGAAAGAAAGAAAGAAAAAGAGAGCGGGAGAACTCGGGCGAATAAAAAACTGAAATAGAAGAGAAGGAAGAGAGGATGAAAGAAAAGGAGGGGTTTATTGAAAATTAGAAAAAACCAAGAAAGAGAGAAGGAAAGAAAGAGAGAAGGAAAGAAAGAGAGAAAGAAAGGAAAAATTCGGTTAAATTAAAAATTGGAATAGAAAGAAAAAAGAAAGAAAAACGAGGTGTCCAATGATAATTAGACAAAAAAGAAAGAAAAGAAGAAAGAAAGAATAAGGGAATTAATCTATCGTGAAAGACAGAGGGGTCGTAGGAAGTTTCAAAAAAGAAAGAAATGCTAGTACAAAGGCCAACTGATGGAGAAAGCAAGCACACAAGCGAGAGAAAAAAGAAGCAACCAAACAAAGACTGTGATCAAAGCAAATTTGGAGTAATTGTGAAAAACATAAAAATTGCCAAACCAGATGCAAAAAGGAAAAAAAAAAAATGAAAGATAAAAAATGAATGTTCTTTTAATGGGAGACATTTCGGAGAAAAGAAAAAAGAATTATGACAGGAGAAATAACAACTCTAGACGTGATGTTAGAAAGCAAAATAGGTAATAGATCAAAGAAAATAGCTGGGAACGAGCACTCAACTTTCTAAAAGTCATCGTCGTTTGCACAAAACAAATAACAGTATTTCATAAAAGACATTGTCAAGGTACATTTATTAAGTTTAATAATGTTTTTTTCTTAAATATAATAAAAAATCTATCTATTTACCCATCTATTTCCCTCTCCCTACATATATATATATATATATATATATATATATATATATATATATATATATATATATATATATATGTAAGCAAATGTAAATGGATATAAATCCGACAGAATTTCTTCATATATATATATATATATATATATATATATATATATATATATATATATATATATATATATATATATATATATATATATATATAAGAGGAATATCAAAACCGTATGTGAAAAGGATAATCCAAGTGGTTCTTTTTAATATAAAGTATTAAAAAGATAGATCTGTAGAGAGCTCAAGGTATAGACCACAGACCAATAAGATATACACCATCAAGGAAAAGCTTAAGACATTACGGAAATACGGCAATCAATCATGATTTATTTCGAACAGTATCATCACACCGAAGATTTAAATTGTATAAATTTACATACAATGGTTCAAGTTATCCAGACAATGCACTAGATGGTATATTAATATTTTTGATTTATTTTTAAATTAGATTATCCGAATAGTTTCCACCAGTATGTCCATCATCAGAATAAAAAAAAAATCCTGCTTGTTAGTGAACTACAGGGGTGAATGACTGTCCCCGAAGAAGTGAACTTTGCCTGTAGGGTTCATTTGTCTTTTTATCGTTAATTTTTGGTCAGTTCTTGTATTGGTCAAAGGCCTTTTTTAAGTTATCTTCACACACACACACACACACACACATATATATATATATATATATATATATATATATATATATATTGTCATCGACAGACTGATTAGCTGTATCACAGCTCATCAGTGTGGCTAGACATCCGATTGCCAGGATCGAAACACGACTGATTTGGCATCAGTCGGATATTTTCCACCTAAGCTATAGGGTTTCGAAGGTGATTTTTACGTATTTATTTTGAATAAACACGCCAATGACTCGATTCATAGAAGAGCTTTGCATTATCAGCAGTAGCAGTCACTGTTTACAAATTCTCGATCGAAATTTTATTTTTCTGGCCTATATATATATATATATATATATATATATATATATATATATATATATATATATATATAATTTATTCAAATATCATAACATAAATATGTTATAAATTCACTACAAAAGTTTTGTTTCAACACTTCTGGGGTCTTATCAAGTGATGGTGTTGAATGTAGAATAGAGAGTTTTAAAAGGTTCAAATCGATCAAACGCTTTTAAGAATAATATTTTTTGGTTATCGGAATTTATTCCTTATACACCAACCATATACTTATAAATACAAATATAGGTAACAATACTCGTTTCGAAAAACCTTCGAATTTTTGATTTGCCAATAATCAAATCAATCTCGAGGGAAAAAAAGGTTTTAAAAAAAGAGAAAGAGCTAGAAACATGAAAGTCTGTCGAAAAAAATCGCAAAGAAAAAAAAACCCGATAAGAGTAAACAACTAACAAAAGAGCTCAATACAACCGTAGGCTCACTAGGTTTATCTATCTATCTATCTATCTATCTATCTATCTATCTATATATATATATATATATGTGTGTGTGTGTGTGTGTGTGTGTGTGTGTGTGTGTGTGTGTGTGTGTGCGTGTGTGTGTGTGTTTGAATTAAAAATATGATCAACCGATTTACCCAAAACATCGACTGAGGATCTGTCAGAATACGGATTTAAATAAGATAAATGAACGTTTTTATACAAACTATATCGATATAGAATGTCAAACAAAAAGTGCGTCTTCTGAATGGATAGATAGAGAAAAAAGAAGAAGAAGAAGAAGAAGAAGAAGAAGAAGAAGAAGAAGAAGAAGAAGAAGAAGAAGAAGAAGTTCTTAGGGACGTACCGTCATAGATAAGGGTAGATGTCTTCGGGCAGACCGAACGCCCCCACCGAATATATATTGCTCCGGCTGCTACAACTGAAATGAAAAATATGACGAGCGATACACTTAGACGGTCAAACATTTGATGTGAGGCAATTGAAATCAATTATACAAAAAATAAACTCACAAGCCAGTGAATTAGGCCGTCAGATGGTGCACAGCTATTTTAGGCTTGTCAGAATTAATCTGAAGCTATTTATTTCCTATTGAGAAAAAAACTAAATAAATGTCAGAAATTAGGCGGAGACGTTAGACGTAGAGTTGGAGTAGACTTTACTCGGGAGCAGAAACCCAATCCTAAACATGGAAAAAGTGATAACCCTCTACAACTGTTCCAAAGCACCGGGAGGATCATGAACTGGACGATAAGGGAACCTATTTCTTCTACTGAGGAAAAAAATATATATAGTAAATGATATATAAGAGTTTAAGCGGAGACGTTAGAAGTACAGTTGAGTTGAAGTAGATTCTAGAAGGAATTGAATACCAAAATCCTAATCAGGTACCGAGTGAAAACCCTCAACTCCTGTTCAAAAGACCAGAGAAGATTGTGCACCAGACGATAGACGAACCTGTTGAGGAAAAAATAATTAAATGATATATAAAATAGTAGAATTTAGTCAGAGACGTTAGAAGTATAGAGTTAAAAATTTCATTTATGTTAATGATGATGGCGAAAATATCCCTTTTCCTTAGAGGACACTTTCTGCATTTACTGACCGATCATTTATCCTTGTTGCCTATTGGAATTCATAAAATGTTTATAGGACTGTTTATAGGATTGTTTATAATCTTTACATGACACTTACTGCATTTACTGACCGATCATTTAGTCTTATTGCCTATTGGAATTCATAAAATGTTTATAGGACTGTTTATAGGACTGTTTATAATCTTTACATGACACTTTCTGCATTTACTGACAGATCATTTAGTCATTGCCTATTGGAATTCATAAAATGTTTATAGGACTGTTTATAGGACTGTTTATAATCTTTACATTAAACTTTCTGCATTTACTGACCGATCATTTGCCTTATTGCCTGTTGGAATTCATAAAATGTTTATAGGACTGTTTATAGGACTGTTTATAATCTTTACATTAAACTTTCTGCATTTACTGACCGATCATTTGCCTTATTGCCTATTGGAATTCATAAAATGTTTATAGGACTGTTTATAGGACTGTTTATAATCTTTACATGAAACTTTCTGCATTTATTGACCGATCATTTAGCCTTATTGCCTATTGGAATTCGTAAAATATTTTTATTTAAACAGTTTTTTTCAGGATGTTAAACTACTTAATTCCTGTTATCACTCGTTCTAGTAATGATAGGACTTTCCTTCCCAAACTTTTGTTTAAATATCTGTCTGAAGTTAAGAGCTTTGATTATATCTTTATTTTCCTTCTATTTCCATCTGCTATTCAAGTGATATATTTTTTGTTTGTGATTATGTCATGCCAGTCTTCTTTAATAAATCGTTCTATATGATTTGTGTATACATTATTTAAAATCTGTTTTTTCTGTGAAAGTGAAAATGGGGTGATCTTTTTCATCTGATGCTCTTGTATTTTCTTAAAATTCTCTGTAAACAGCAGGAAAATATGTGTGGTTTATGGATATGGTGTGATTTCTGAGAATAGAGCATATAAATGTTTCACTGGGTTAGGAAATGAAAAGTTTCATCTAGCCAATTCAATTGTAAATTGATGAGACCTTGCTGCCAATCTAGTACTGCGCTTAAATTTATAAACTCTTGGTATTACAGTGAAGAGTTCATCTGAACAATTACCATGTAAATATTTATTTACAATAAAAAGCACAAGGTAGCTACATTATGGCTGTGGGAAAAGTGATAGGAGCTGTGATGTCAGGTCAGGACTAATAATATTGCTGATTATTCTTTGGATTTTATCAAGAATCTTTAAGTATACAGCTGGAGTACCGGATCATATGTGCCAACAGTATTCAAAGTATGGACGAATGGTAAACTTATAAATATACAAGATAGTTTCTGGAGAGAAAAATCGTTCAGCACAAATCAATGACCCAACTTTCTTAACAGTAGATCTAGCATTGGATTCAATATTGTCTTTCCATTGAGAATGTTAGACAAACAAGTCGTTACGAGTCACTTTCATAGAACTTACCGTCAACCATTCTGATGAATATGTGAAACGCTACCATATTTGGTTACTTCACGATTCAAAAAGCAACAAAAGCGACCGATTATAAAAGATCCTGAGGCGATGAAAAATAGCTTGTTTACAACAATGTGAAACATGAAAGGTCTTGCAGAAAGGAAAATGAGCCACGGTTAGTCTAACAAAATTCTGTTTTGCACCCGAAGAAAGCAATGCTGTATATCATTGTGTATTACGTGTTCCAAAAAATCAGGCGTTGAAGTACTGTTCCCAACTGGACTGATAAAAGGTGACAAACAAAGTGAACTTGTCTGGAACTGTCCAATGGAGTCAGTGTCGTCTTCCATCAGAACAAAGATAAACCACCCGACATTTTGTGGGCCCGAGGGAAATTGGTACAGCTTAGTTTGTATGACCTATTCCACCCACTGTACTCACCTTGACATTTCGTAGTACCACTTATTTTTCTCCCTATTAAATTTTCTTATTGCAAGTATTTCAACTCTGACATCAGTTCATCTGGGAGGAAGGAATCATGAAACTGTCTCGAAGATAGTGAAAGGTATAGGAACAAAATGACACTTTTATGGTTGAATGAATCTATGTACAAATACTGAAATATTTTCTTTAAAAACTTTTCTTCCGACCCAATGCGTTGAATTGGTTTTGTTTGCTTAAGTTCCTAGGAGTACCAAATCTCGCTGAATACCGGAGTTAAGCAGCTTCGAGTCCGGTCAATACTTATGGGGGACGGCTCAGGAACACAGGGTACTGTAAGCGACATCCTATAATCCAAAATATGTTTCAGTTTTACAATAACCCACAAAGGGTTGATAAACCGTAAAAAAATAAAAGCAACTCTAATCGGAAATCGTTGAAAATCTGTCGAATTGTTGCTGCTTGCAAACCGACCTATTTAATGTGATAGTTTGTTGCCATGTCTTACTTTTAAGATAGATACATATGATATACAATAGTAAAATAAAAATAGTGTCTATTGTATGAATGTAAATAAACTTACTTGCTTTGCCTCCAACATTTTTCTTGTCACTGGATCTCTTCAACAATTGAATATCCTGAAATAACCAAATCAACTATATTAAAAATATCGATGTAGATAACATTCTCATTCACCCACACGACGTTTCAATCTTCCTATGAACTTCTTCAGGAACATTCTCCAGCCGAAAAGCGGCCCGTAAGATGGAACGGCCTTAATAACGCGCTAGTGTAAACAACGTCAATAACACTAAGAGATTCTTTTTCTACGTGCCATTGTCATCCACGTTCTGAAAGGACACCCCCTTCAGACAATGGGCGGCATTGGCTCTTCACGACTTCCTATATTTCTTATCTTAGCAATGTTTGTAACGTTGTCAAGCCTTACACACCCCGTTTCAATATCCATTCACAAATCTGGCCAGGTATGAGGGTCGTTTGAAAGGTACATAGGCTGACCAAGATACTTTCATAGAATAAGAAGATTATTTTTCAACATAGTCCCCTTTTTTTCCATAATCTGTTAAACTACTCTACAGATATCTAATCTTTTGCGCCTGTTTCAAGTCGCCATCTTTAATTCGTTTTTCGCATCTTAAGCTGTTCCTTTTTCATTCCGTCTTCTTAAGATTGATGGTTAGTCCTTTCTTCTCACTTTCTTTCACTAGCTTGTCTTAAACGTCATGTCGTGTTCCATCTTTGTCTGCCATCAACGGAGTGTCATCTTCGTATTTGATATTGATAAGAATTTACCCACTGATGAGAAATCCTGGTTGGGTCTTCAGCTGGAAACGCCACAATTGGAAATTATCGTTATTTCTCTATGAATGACAGGCGAATAGGAATACAGGAATATGGAACTATGCCAAATATTGAAAAATGAAATTTTATTTGCAGTCCTACAGTTAATGTCTATTGACAATGTCTCGTGCAACTAGGAATCTGTACATTAGTGAATTCTCATTAGGCATTAATATTACGTCAATCTTTTCTAGTTTAAACATCAAGTCTTGAATTCTTCCTTCTTGTAGTTAAGAATCCAGTCGTAGAATTTCAAGTAAACCATTCTCTTAGCTCAGAAGCAGGCAAAAGTTTTATCTACAACTTTGTATTATCTTTTGAATTTATTCTAATTTTTAACTTTGATTTTTACCTGAACGTTTTACTTATGGATGCTATGATTGTTTCTTTGTCTATTTCTGCCGTGTTATAACAGTTTGGACGTATTGGCTTTTAGTAAACTACAGTAAAAGAAGCTTGATTTTCGTTTTGTGACTGTGGAAGGCACAGAATTAGATGTGCGTCTCAAGTGACGTTTTCTAAGGGTACAATTCATGTTGAGAATTCCCACAGAAGAACGCGTTTACAAAGATGAAGTTTTAAGAAAAATGAGAATGAAAAAGACAATTATACTTACTGTGAGAAAGAGACATTTGAAATTACAATTTGAACGCATAATGAGAAAAGACGGCTTGAAGAATTCAATCCTCACCGGGCGTATTGAAGGTTAGAAGAGCAGAAACTAGTTAATAACAAAAGTAACAAGTTTGTGTAATTGAAAGACAGATCAAGGACCGGGAGGTATGTTATCGGGACGTATGTTGTTTAGTGCTGAAAAGGAAGAAAGCTGTGGAGAGTCATTATCCTCCACGTCCTGAAAGGATACAGCACGTAGAAGATTTTATCCTATCATTTATATTATTAATAATTTCATATGATTAATGACTAATTTTATTTATTTCATTTACTCTTCTAGATGAAGCCTTTTAGTATTATTTTAATTGCCAAGTTAACGCCATCTTCTTTTATCTCTTATGATTAATACTTTTTAATTCATTCTTATTGCTACTTGTATGCGCCTTTATTTATTTCTTAGGTGTTATAAGAT